CCTCCCCGCTGGGGCAGGGGATAAGTAGGCCCGAAGTCAATGACACAGACTCGGGGGCACTCACTAGGCAATGTGCAAGTGAGCTCATCTATGGTGAACACAGGCAGCTCCTTTATACCCCCTTCCCTCCTCCCATTGGTCCCTTATGTCACGTTGGAGTCCTTCTATTGGAGCTGTGGATGTGTTGTTGGTTTCTAACTGCCCGGCAGCATCTTCCTGCTCATCAACAGGAAGCAGGATAGGCCTGCACTGTTGTTCTCATACCTAGCCTCCTACATCCCATGGTGTTTTTTGCCATGTACCCCCGCCCTACCAAGGAAACTGACACTATATGTAACTCAATATTCCCAGCTTTTATACAATGTCTGGCATATAGCAAATGTTTGGTTAAGTGTTTAATTAGACAACCAATTGCACTACCTGCAGAATTATTTATAGTATTTAACTAGAACCTAAGCACAAAACCTGCATTTTAATAAAGGGATCGTAAGAATACAATTACGCTGTTAATACACTTAATTATCATAATAGAACCGTGTGATGGTTTGAATGAGAATATGCCCCATAGGTTCCAAGTATTTAGACATTTTTGTCCCCAGTTTGTGGCGCTGTTTTGGGAGGTCTTAAAGGTGTGGTTATGCTGGAGGAAGCACTTCACTGGGGATGGGCTTCCAGAGTTCTTAAGCCTTGACAGATCTCCAGTCGTTCTCTTGCTTCCTGTGCCTGTGTGATCATGTGACAGCTTAGCTTCCACTCCTCCTCCAGCCAGGTCTGCCTCTTGTCTCCCCACCACGATGGACTCTTGCCCCTTTGGAACCATAACCTTCCTTCTATAAATTGCTTTGGTCAGAGTTTCTGTCACTGCAAAAGAAAAGTAACTAATAGAAACTGTAAAAAGGGAAATCATCTATTCTGTGTCATTCCGCTTTAGAAAAACAATAGCAACAAATTAATGAAACCTCTTGGACAGGTGTCTTCAATTGCTCCAACTTAAAAAAAACACTACTCAGTAACTTTTAAGTGTGAATTAATTCTTACTATCCCTTTACTGAAATGCAGATTTTGTGCTTAGTTCTAGTTAATATTAGACTATCGGGATAAGCCTTTTCTTGTTATAATTCTCAAATCTTCATTTTTATACATTTTTCCAAATGATTAGCAGTGCAAGTTGTATGACAGTTAATTGATTTTTTTGTCATTATTTAGATCTTAGTAGTAGTTACACCAGATACTCATTAAATATGTGTATTTTTAAAATAAATGAATAAAATAAAGGTAAAGTATTGTAGTGATTTGGATAAAAACTTCATTTCACAGGTAAGAAAAATCAATGCCAAGATGAAATAAGGTGTGTCATTAGTGTTTAGAAGCAACAAATTTTTTTTAATCAATACAAAAATTCATGTCAAATGGGTCATTTTATATTATCAATATGAATTTTCTTATACCTTAGAGGTGAAACTATACAGAGAATTGATTCCATAATCAATCAAACAGAATAAGAAAAATATATTATGTGTGGGCTATGAGGGAAAATCTTTTATGTTCTTGTAATCTACCTCCATTTAGATTTATTGATACATAATAGATATCAAGTAACTATAAATGCTTGTCTGATGGTAATAATTATATGTTGAGGCCACACTTTATCAAATTGATTCTGCACATAAGGATTTTACTACCTAACCAATAATGCTATGATGATTTTCTCTTTTAAAATAATGGTATTTTACTAAATGTCATTCTCAAATCTTCAGCAGCTTTTGAAATTAGGTTAAAGTTATCTTGAAAACTTACCATTTATGCGTAGTTAGAATTTCTGAGGTATGCTAGAAGGAAGTCAAGAAGTAAGATTTAGTATTGCTTTTCTTCTAATCCATCACGATTTCTGCTTAAGAAAAACACTAATCTCAGATTTAAATTTCCATATGATTTCAGTAATCTCTAATATGTCATCCCATGTGTATATTTCTATGGTCCCATGATCTCCTTCTGCAAGATCAAAGTTGATGTCCAGCAGCCTCTCTCTTGTTGCCATATTAAATTCGCACCACAAGCCTCCACCTGCTTTTTTGTAATTGGCTTCTGTTCCTAAAACTCAAACAGAAACCATTGAAAATATAATGGTAACTGGTGTGCGGATGAAGAAGATCCATTTGTTTCCATTCATTATGCCAGTTCAGCCATGATAAATTAACAGGAATGGAGTATTCTCCACATTTGTAGTATACCCCAGCTCAAGCCCATGGTCTGAATGCTAAGCAAAGGAGCCCTGTAGGGAAATGGCATACATAATACAGAAGACTTTACAGCACTGAGTCTGGAGTCAGAGTAACTCAGCTCTGACCCATCTCCATGTCAGGCTTGTTTGGCTAATGTATAATTTTGTTTTGACATGAATCATTGAAACTTAAGCATGTTAAACTAAATATTTGCTCTGTACAGAAAACCTTTTTTTAAAAAAAAAATCCAAAGTATATGTTTGAAGCCTTTTAGAAAGTTCCATAGCTAAAACATAAAATAATTAAACATAATAATCTTAAAGAATCACGACCTCTGTCTTTTAAAGGGGTCAACATTAGAAGCATATTGATGTTTCACTTTGAATGAAAGGCGAATTATTCAGTATGAATTTGCCTTCTCTGGATGAGGGGAGGAGAAGGCTAAGCATTTAACAGATAAGCTAAAAATTCAGGTCAGTAGTGACAGAGGATTTAGGCTCCATAAACATCAAAGAGCAAATTGTCATTATCTGGGTAGATCCTGCCTTTTATCTCAGAACATTTAAAATGGAATAGAGAAATAGGAAAGGTAAGAGATGGTGAGTTTTTTGTAGAGTTTAAAAATATTATTAAACATGTTTTTCAGATTGTATTAATATCTTAAGTTGATGGGCTAGAAATAAGAATTGCAATAACTAAGTTGATATCAACGTTATACAATACCCATGAGACAGAAAGAGAAGTCACCTGGATCTCACAGCAGACATCTGGATCTCACTAGGCAACAGCCACTCAATCCAGGCCAACATGCACCTCTCCCAGAATCCAGACACTTTGAAACACTGAAACTTTGCAAAATTCTGCCTGTTTCCCTGCACATTAGGGAAGCACCTCAGAACTGACAGCCATTGGTTATCTCTATAGATGACCCTAGTTGTGCCTTGGCCTACAAAGGATCTCCTTAATTCTCTTCACTCAACCTCTTCACTTAATTTTGGAAATAAGAAAAAATAATCATGGCAAACTATGACCAATCACTGAAGAGAAAGTCCAACTTACAAAATAGAACAAATGTGAATATAAAAGGCCATACTACAGTATTTGTCAAAATAAAATAAAAGTTAAAATACTCTGGAAGTTCATTTCGGCAATGTGACGTGGGAAATACAGGAATCACTGGATTTCTAACTGCAGTAGAGAAAGGAGATAGGGCAGCCTGTAATAGGGGTGAAAAATGCAGAGTCATGGCCCTCTCAGCCTCTGTTAAAGGATGTGGAATAGGTTTGAAAGGATGAAAACCTTCTCCCCTGACAGCTGTTCAATTCCCTCCAGCAGAGATTAAAAAAAAAAAAAAAAAAAAAAAAAAAACCCTTTTCACTAAATTGACCTTTTCCAAGAACAGGTCAGCCAGGTGCAAGATACCAGATGTGAGTTCCCATAGTCTCCTAGCCTCAGGAGGCCATTCATCTCTTCTATGGGATAGGAATCAATTCTAACAAGAAGGGTACAGAGTCAGCATTTTATTGTTAAAGTAGTTGGACTTCATCAAATTTTATATTCTCCAATAAGGAAAAGAACATTCTTCAATACATTGTTTGCTTTTATTACCTTATGATTATCTCATGGAGACTTCTCATTTTTTGGCAAGTAGTATGAAGAGACTTATAAAACTAATTTTCATAGCTTAAATAAAGCCCTTGTAAAATGATGTTTGCACGCATTTTGCTTTGAGTGATTAGTTTGTTGATTCAAAATCATTTTGAGTGACTTATGCAAAGAATCCAAGAGACTTTGCATCAACATAGTTGTCAAAGGTCAATTTGAGTTGGGAGTTTACTTGCAATCTAAAAACACTGAATGAACACTCCTCTCAACACATCATTTGGTGAGCACTCCAGTCAATTTAAAACCCCATCCCATCCTTTGTGACTCTCCTAGCAAGCTACAAGATGTGCTTTCTCCTAACTAAAAACTTTAGGATCTGTAACCTCCATCTCCCACCCTTCCACCCTGTAGTCTCCCAGAGGCACTAAACTAACCAAGTACCTACTAATCTTTGATGATATCTTAAAGGCTTCCTGAAAAACATACATTCAGTTTCACATTCCTCTCCCTGGTTTGGTTTGCTTGTTTATTTGATCTAACTCAGTGATATCTAAAATGAAAGGTTTTAGAATAATCTACAGTACTTAAAACTACAGATTCTTAAACCTTACTCCAGGTTTTCATTTTGAAAGGCTAAAAAGATTCAAGAACTGCCAAGTGACTAAACTAGTTTTCAAATATTTGGCCAGTTTAGGAGGCCATGGTCATTTGATGGGATACTATCTCCAGGCAAGAAAAGCTTTGTGATTATTTTTTTTTCTTTTTGAAAAGCTTGAGTTTAAATCTATGTTACAAGTTTATGGTCCCTCAAAGGTTCACTCGTCTCATATACAAGATAAGAATTAATTGTACTTTTCAAATGAAGGTGTGAGCTCTGTTTCCTGCTCCAGCCCCAACGCCTGCTGCTTGTTGCCACGCCTCCTCACCATGATGGAATCTTATCCCTTTGAAGTTATTAGCCACAATAAACTCTTACTTCCATAAGTTACCTTGTTCATGACATTTTGTCACAGTGGCAGAACAATGACCAAATATGTCAATACTAATAACAGAAGCAGACAAGCAAACACTAAGCTAATGAGCAAGAAAATTTGTTATGATAAATACTATGCAAGATATTTAAAGAGCAATATGATAAAGAATAAGTGGGCAGATGTCATATACTGAGTGTGCATGGAGGACATCTCCCAAGACCGAAACCCAAAGGGCAAGAAGGATGTAGCCATGAGAAGATTGTCCTCCCTGCAGAAGGCACAGGTAGAACAACTTGCCTGAGACCGGAAACTGGGAGAAAGCTGGCGTGGCTGAGGCACAGGGAGTGGAACAAGAGGGCAGCACATGCGGTGAGAGGTAGAAAGGGGTCAGAGCACCAAGAACATCATCTGTCAGAGTTCGTAGTCTACCTTTAATCTAAGCAAGATGAGAAACCGGTGGAAGGGTTCCAGGAGAGCAGCATGATTACCAGATGCTTGATTCAGCAGGAGCAATGTGGGCTCTGGGTGGAGCATGTGCTATGAGGTGGAGTGGAAGCAAGCCCAGCATTTGGGAAGCTAGCCCAGCAACCCAAGAAGACAATTCAAAAGGCTTGTGCTCATAGAAAAGGCAGAGGCATGCTTAGAGGCAGTGTATGTGTTTTCTGTGATATAGAACATGTGGAATGCTGGGGAAAAATAACAAGAAAGTGAGGCTTTATGACTTAAATAAGTGGATTCTGGCTACCTATGAGTAGCTTAGGACAGGTGAGTACACAGCACTGGAAATACTTTCCAATAATACTTCAAATGCCAGAAAACTTCAAGAGCAACAAAAGACGTGAGTGATCTGAAAAGTTCCAGAAAGACATCAAAAACGATAACGATACAGTCACTGAACTTCAGCAGATACTTTATCCCAAGAGGGATTTGTGCAAGGAAAAGCTTAACAAAACCATCCCTTAGGTCAGATATTTTTAAAGTGTTCAGCAATTTAGTAAATGTCCAGGTGAATTAATATCTGTTTGTGCTTGATAGACTTGTTGCCGTGAGGTTAGAGGGAGAAAAACCTCCTTGAGTTCTGGGTCAGCGGAAGTGAAGGGTTTGTTGTGCAGTAGACTCTGTCATGAATGTTCATTTTTCAGTAACTATGAGAAAAATCATCTCTGTCTCACAGAAGGACTTGGCACAAAGTCTGCAAGAGGGAGCAGGGTCTGTGTATATGCAGAGTTGACCCTCACTCCAGAGCCTAGGAAGATAATCCCTGCTAGGAGGCTCCCACTTTCTAAAGGAGATATGTCTATGGCCCCTTCAACCTTTATGGTTCCTTCATTGTTTCTTCTGTGGAAGTAGTTATCTACATTCAAGCATAAATGCAACCAAAGCCCTAGGTGTTTGAAAGCTATGATATAAAAAAGATAATTGGATTGTTTATTTTATGAGGATATTGCTTTAACTTATATTATGCAATAAAACCTCATCAACTCACACTTCACTAATCTCATATAAAGTTAAGCAACTAAACTACATGTAATTAAGAAATGCTAGGTTTTCTTCAAATAATTCTTTACAGTCTTATTGTTAGGAAGGCAAATTCAGGTCTATTGTTTAGCTTGATAAAGAGGGTCATTTTCGAACAGCAGACCCCAATCTTACCTAAAGGAATATTGGAAACTGATTGCTACTAGATGAGGAAGAGCTGATCTTCATAAAACAAGGAACTCTAGATGGGCTGAATAGATTCAGTGGATGGACAAGCACTGGAGCATGGCTGGGGGTGCCAACAACACAGTTGACAGTAACAGGGATTACAAAGTATATGGGTTCCAGTGGAGGGGGGGCGGAGACTATGGGAGGGTGCCATTTAGGATGTGGGAATATAGATGAATAAGATTGTTTGGGATGTTTTGTATGAAATACGCAAAAAAATCAACAAAAAAATGAGTTATATTTGAGGAAGAAGTATAAAAATTTGTTCCATGTTAATTAGTGGAGGTGAAACACATTACCATTGAAATCTACCCAATGATTTTATATCCATGCTCAGGTGGATCTCAGAAAGTAACCAACTAATCAGATACATAGAGATCAGAGACTGAAAAACCTAGGCGCCATGAGGCCACCTGATAGGAATGCCTGACAAGAGGTCAAGCATTGAGAAACTAGCTTATCAGAAAAACAGGACGTAGTGGTCAAGCCATCTGCATCTGGCAATCCCCGGGGCTCAATACCAGGAAATCAGATCTGTACCATAAGTCACCCACCCAGAATTTAGCAACTTAACTTCCTCATGCTTTATACTCGTTTGAATGGGCCAATAACCATGCTTCTGCTTCTGTACCCCGCTTCTGCTCTATAAAAGTGCCAAAACCCAGCATGGGGGCGCGCAAGTCCTCCGAGGAGACTTTGTGCCCACAGGTACCTGTGTACTAAATAAACCTCTTGCTGTTGCAACCCGAAGGCTGACTTGTCCTCAGTGGTTTCACTCTTACAAACTTATATCCATTTTCCTCTGGCTTATAACAACCTGCTTTTGTTGAGGCCACTCATATGCCCAGGTGGAAGAATGTATCTCCCATTTTTCCCTATAGCTTGGGATAAAGGGGGCAACTCGAGCCTTGCGGGGAGGTGAGTCGGCCGGCTAACTGTTGTCTGTGTTGTCTGTGTACTTGTTTGCTCGTGGTTCGCGCAGCGTCTGTGGGGCCCCGTCGGAACTTCTGGGCAGTGCAAGTGCTGGACTGACGAGTCCATGAGCTTTGCCTGCTGACCTGGAGGACGCTCCAGGATCAGTGAGATCCCCTCTGTAGTTTTTTGTGGGTCTAATCTGGGCAGGGGCACCTCCCTGCCATCGGTATCTGAAATTCTCCTCTTCGCACTGCGTGTCTGTCTGTGTGTCAGTAGAGTCTGTTGTTCATTGTTGATTGTTGTTTGAACCAAAGTTTTGAAATGGGACAAGGATTAACTACCCCTTTGAGTTTGACTTTAGATCATTGGAAGGAGGTGAAAACTCGTGCCCACAACCAGTTTGTGGAGATCAAGAAGCATAGATGGATTACTTTTTGTTCCTCAGAATGGCCAACCTTTAACTTAGGTTGGCCCCGCGATGGGACATTCGATTCTGATGTTATTTTACAGATCAAAGCAAAAATCTTCTCTCCTGGACCGATGGGACACCTGGATGAAGTGGCCTATATAGTCACTTGGGAAAATCTCTCCCTTGACCCACCACTGTGGGTGACTCCTTTTCTCAGTCCTTCACGAAGAATCCCCCTCCCCTCTGCCCCTAACCCGGACCCTTCGACCGTCTCCCTGTATCCTGTTGTGGTGAAACCAAAGCCTGTTTTACCCCCTGATGAGAGTGTTCCGCTGATCTGCTGAGTGAGAATCCCCCTCCCTACCACCCTCCTCCGCAGGCTGCTGCGGCTGTTCCAGACGACGCCCAAGCAGAGGGACCGGAGGTCACTCCCTCCCCCATCACGGGGTGACTCAGAGACAGGACAAGGAGATTCCTCACACATCCTGCCCCTCCGACTCGCAGGAGGGGAAGGAAACCAGTTACAGTATTGGCCCTTCTCCACTTCAGACCTGTATAACTGGAAAACTCATAACCCGTCCTTTTCCCAAGACCCGCAGGCCCTAACAGCCCTGATAGAATCTATCCTCCTTACCCACCAACCCACGTGGGATGATTGCCAACAGCTCCTGCAGGTCCTCCTAACTACGGAGGAAAAGCAGAGAGTCATTCTGGAAGCCCAAAAGCATGTCCCGGGGGCAGACGGGAGACCAACCCAACTGCCAAACGAGATCGAGGCTGCCTTTCCCCTCACCAGACCTGCTTGGGATTTCAACACGGCTGAAGGTAGGGAACACCTACGTCTTTATCGCCAGGTGCTTGTAGCGGGCCTCCAAGGGGCAGGGAGACGCCCCACCAATTTGGCCAAGGTAAGGTCAGTGACACAGGGAGCAGACAAGCCGCCCACTGTGTTTCTAGAAAGACTTAAAGAGGCATATCGGAGGTACACTCCCTTTGATCCAGACAGCCCCGATCAGGAAGTAAGTGTTTCCATGTCTTTCATATGGCAATCAGCTCCTGATATTAGGAGTAAACTCCAAAGAATGGAGAATTTACAGGGGCAAGGTCTTAGGGACCTCTTAAGGGAGGCAGAGAGGATCTTTAACAAAAGGGAAACACCAGAGGAGAAAGAAGAAAGACAAAAAAGAGAGGCAGAAGATAGAGAGGCAGTGAGAGATC